CGGAAAATCCCTCGGCAGAATCCCCAGCGCCACACAGTCGAACCAGCTGAGTAGCAGGCCAGTCAGCTCCCTGATGACGAACACGGCAGCGGTGGTCGATCGGTCGCCCAGCTCCAGAGTAGCCCGGAACGATCCGACACAGGTGAGCGGCTGTTTCCCTACTGCTGAAAATGGCTGGCCGATGCAGGGCTCCAACTGCGCTGGTTCCACGCAGATGGAAGACAGGCTGTCTTCGCCGATGACTGTCGCCTCGGCGCCGGAGTCGGCCCGGGCCGGCACGGTGAACACTCCAGCCGGCGTAGACAGTCGGACAGTCACAGTGGGAGTCGGCCGCGTCGAGATGCCGTTCACGTAGACGTCTCTGATGACACGGCAGATGCGCGGCTCTGACGGCTGCCCCACCGCGGGCCGCGCGCGCTCCGGTGCTGCGCGCTCGGCGGGGGCAGCGGCGCTCTCGCGCGCCACCTGGGCGCACACCACTGCAAAGTGGCCGCGCTGGCCACACGAGTTGCAGATGGCGCTAGTAGCGCGGCACGCCGCCGGGTCTGCGTGGGCGGCCCGCCCGCAGCGGCAGCAGCGCGCGCCGGCCGCGCCCGCGGAGCGCCCGCCAGGTTGGGCCGCGGGGCGCGCCTGGGGGCGGCGCACGCCAGCTGCACCCGCGGAACGCCCGCCGGGTTGGGCCGCGGGGCGCGCATCACGCGACTTTGACCGGCGGTACGCTGACAGCCGGTTCAGCGATGCGTTCGGCGCGCGGAGATCAGAGCAGGTAGCGCGGGCGTTTTCCGACGCACGACAGATATCTACGGCCTTCTTCAGGTCGAGTTCCGGATCCTCCAGCAGCCGTTTTACGGTTTCTTCATCTCGCAGGCCGCACACGATCTTATCACGCAACCGTGAATCGTAACAGTGCGTGCAAAAGTCACAAAACGCGGCGAGCTCCTTTGCACCACACAAAAACTCCTCAAAGTTTTCGCCCTCCTCTTGCACACGGGCGTAGAAGGCCCGACGGTCCACCAGGACACTGCGTTGTTTTCGGAGGTGGCTCTCCATCGCGTCCACCACCTCGGAGAGGGGAGAGTCGTCCGTGACGCTGAGGCCGTAACGCAGCACCCGGTGCCAGTCCTCGTCCAGGAGGCTTAGGAGAGCGGCTCGCTGTGCAGTAACAGGTAGTGCTGACGCGCCAGTGAGAAGCATATATCCGTCCAGCTTTTCCCTCCAAACAGCGAAGTCACGCAGCGACGTAGATGACGACAGATGCGGCGCCGGTGTCGCGGCAGCCGGCAGCCGCACGGGCGGGGCGGCCGCCGGTGGCCGGGTCGCGGGGGGTACCTCATCCCCGGCGACGACAGCGGGCGGCTGTCGATCGGCGACCAGCCGCTCCACGAGCTGACCGAGGCGCTCCTCACGCTGCGCCGACAGCTGCGCCTGCTGCAGGAGCAGCTCGGTCAGTTTATCAATGTCACTCATCACGCACCTATCACTGTTCACTGCACTTTAAAATCCGCATACATAACCAGTTACCGACCGCGCCATGTTAAGTTGTTGTTGATCGGTTCGAAATGGAAATGTAGAAACGGAAAAATGCGATTTATTGACTGCGAGACGTTAGGCCGAAAAGATACGCGAAAAGTAAACAAGTATGGCGAGCGTCAGTTTTCGTCCCGTGCGCCACTCACGCCGCTTGGCGCGCAAGGACAGCTGAGCGCCGGCAGGGGCGCTCCCAGGCACACAGAGGTGAAGCCGCAGAGGCGGTCCAAGTCTACACCCCCTATACCCGAACACAACAATGATATGCTGAGTCATTATATGCTCTTTTTCACTTAGCACATTCCCTACGAACCAGCTACGAGCAATAAATAAATATCGTCATGTTTTGTCATTCGCGCGCCATAATTGCATTCAACAGTCTTCTGCTGTCAAATGTTTTACGTGTTATTTTCTTTCAATAATAAGATACTAGGGTGACCCGCGTGCTCCGCAACGCGAAAAGGGATATTTTCGATCGGCGGGTGTTTGGTTTTCTTGTGTCGGTTGGGTTAGCTATCCATTTCGGTCGATTGCTTTTTGACGGCTAAACGTTTTGGTTTGGAAAAAATATCCACCGCATCGAGGTGCCCGTGTCTGATAAGCATGCTTTCCATTTCAGAATCTGTCAAATGTGTTTTATAACTGAGGTGCGTAGTTTTAAGACAAATGAAAGGCGTAGATAATTTTCGCTAAAAATCGTTTTGCAGAGGTTTGAAACATTTATATTTTTAAGAATACTGTTGCTTGTCATGCAAACGTGATGATTGGATCTTGGGGAGAATTGAATGCTCTTTCTAATGATAGCATTTTCAATTGTCAAACGTATCAGGTTAAGCAGCAAATCCCGTGTAACTTTTTAGTGGCACATTATGGACAAATACCATTTAATTCAGCGATTTTTTCCACATTGTTTTTTATCAATTAGCTGTTCACAATTTTTCCATGAGAGGCGGTACATTTCTCTTGCCAATTGACGTTGTTTCAACTCTCTCAGTCTGATGGTCACGGGAAAATAAAATAAAATCCAAAATCCGTTTAAAACGGCACTTTTTGAAATGAAATTGCCCTCACACTTCCACGTGGCGCGTGCCACCCCTGCACCGCAAACTATTCGATTGCCCGTTCGATTCTCTACACGATCACTGGCGGATCCAGGCTTGCGTTTTTGGGGGGGGGGGGCCAACTCATGCAGGAGCCAAACCTAGGGTACCCCCAAATCCTGTTTTCTCATCGGATTTAGGCCACTTATTTTTCGTCACAGCCCTGATACTATGAATATTTTTTTAACTAAAAAGAAAAAATATATAAATGGTAGCCCACCCGACCCATGCCTTTATATTACTTTGTAAACACTTACCATTGCTTTTGTCGACCAGTTAACTCGCTTCGAGTCAGTGCTTGGGTCCCTTTGCGGGCCGGGAGGTGGTAAAACACCCCCTGTCTAACTCGGCTCCTGGGCCACGCACTGATTGAACTATGTTTCATTATCGTTTGGGGGAGGGGGCAAACGGGCCACTTTAGGCCTCTGGGAAGGGGGCATGACCCTCAATGCCCCCTCCCTAGATTCGCCAGTGAAAGAGACCATTGGAGCTGCAGTTGGGTACCTCAGACGTCAGGGTACGCCCTCAGATGTATAGGACTCGTGTGGAGACCTCTTATGCTATAGTGGACTGAAAGGACCCAAAGGAGCCCGTCTATGGCTCCCAGAGATAGACGTGGGCCCTCAGGAGCCCGCCAGAGCCCCCAATGAGGGATAAGTGAGGGATACCAAGTGCCTGCAATCGCATATTGCATAAGCCATAACGTATCAGTGGCAGATCCAAGGGGAGCCACATGGGTCATGACCCCCCCTTGGTGCCCGGGGGCACCACAGGCCTGTCAGGGGCACCACCGACCTAGCAGGGGCACCGGGCACCACCAGCCCGCCAGGGACACCACAGGCCTAGCAAGGGTACCACGGGCCTGTGAGGGGCCCCACAGGCTTGTCAGGGGCACCCCAGGTCTGTCAGGGACACCAGAGACCTGCCAGGGGTACCACCGGCCTCGAAGGGGCACCATGGGTCTGTCAGGGGCACCAGAGGCCTATTAGGGGTACCATAGGCCTTACAGGGGCACCACCGGCCTTGCAGGGGCACCTTGGGCCTGTCAGGGGCACCATAGTCCTGTCAGGACCCAGGGGCACCAGCGGCCTATAGCAGGGGCATCGCAGGCCTGCCAGGGGTACCACCGGTCTAGCAGGGGCACCACCGGCCTCGCAGGGGCACCATGGGCCTGTCAGGGGCCCCACCGGCCTCGCAGGGGCACCACCGGCCTCGCAGGCATCACGGCATCACGCAGGGGCACCTTGGGCCTGTCGGGGGCATCACTGGTCTGTTGGGGGCACTTTAGGCTTGTCAGGGGCACCACAGTCCTGTCAGGTCCCAGGGGCATCAGCAGCCTAGCAGGGGCACCCTAGGCCCGCCAGAGGCACCACAGGCCTGCCAGGGTCCAGGGGCACCACAGGCCTAGCAAGGGCGCCACGGGCCTGCTGTCAGGGGCACCTCAGGCTCCCGTCCCCCCCCCGCTGGATCCACCAGTGATGCCACACCACGCGAAACACCGCCAACTTCCAGCTGCCGCGCCATAAACACGTGCCAACCACAGTCTTTTTTTTAAGGTGGCGACTCCGCTCGCGCAACTTTTGACTTACCCTCACTGCTACCATATTGCCTCCATATTATGCTGTGGAAAGCTTTACTTCACGAAGTGGCTAAAAACCTCCATCAAGGTATATTTTCTTAGCAATTTTTCTGACGTTTGGGGGGGGGGCCAAACAGGCCACTTTAGGCCTTTGGGGGGGGGGGCCATGGCCCTAAATGCCCCCCCCTGGATCCGCCAGTGTACACGATGCTGTTTTCCCCGTGCCGATCGGGCGCACGGCTACCGAGATATTGCACGGGGAACGGACCCGTGTCGGGCAAATTTAGCCATTTTCGCCCGTTTTTGCCAGCCGATTTATACATGTAAAGTCTATGACGCGAATTTGCACTTTTGGGGCCCGCGCCACGCGCTCGCTATCGACCCGATCGAGCTGAGACCGCCCAAAGGCACGTTGTCCATCCTTGATCTATAAGTAGCGCGAATTTCAGCGCGCTGGGTGCAACGGTCTGACCTGTAACCCGCGCTACGTAGCACCATGTCGCGACCTTGGTAATAGACAGAAACTACGTCACCTCAAATAGTAATATAGATTGTGAACTATCATTTATAGCACTCAGAAACAGCATCATTATTTTTAATTTATTCCTGCAATTTCTGACATGAAAACTAGACATAGTTTGATAAAAAGAAGCAATATCTGTAACATGTTAAAGTTCTTGATTAAAAACAATTTTATTGTTTACAAGTTTATTTACCAACTCTTTTTATCGGAGGTGCCGCTGGTGATGAAGTTTAGTGAAACCCGATTTTACATAGTTTGCAAAAATACTTATGAATTGTAAAGTTCAAACACTTGTAATCGCAAGTTTTTAGTGAAACAGGCCTCTGATTGAGGCTAGCATAGCTCCCCAATCCTTTGAAGGCCGATTCAATTTTATTCTTTGATGAATGCGCAGCACGTTTGACCTGCTATTATCCGGATCGCTGGCGCTGCTCAGAGGCTCGGCTCTTATACGGCCTTGGCTCGGCTCGGCGGGCTGCTCTGCTGCGGGCCGTCTTTGTCAGCGTGTCGTCAGCAGTATGTCAGAGGCTGTCAGCACTGCGTCAGCGACCTCAGCGGCGCGCTCCCACCGCAATCCAAAGCAACGCGGTGCCCAATACTGCAGACTGGCGTCTCAACTCGGAAAAGGTTGCAATTGCTTGTGGGTATGACGGAGGCCACATGTCTTATTTTTAGATCCCACTGTAAATTCTTTTTTTGCGACTTTTTACAACATTTTAGGTGCAATAGTCGATGAATGTCTAGGTCTGATAATCAACCGATACACTGCCTATCGGAGTCTCGTTTTTCAGATGCACTTGATTTCGGTACTATCATAATATCGACCCAGCTGTTAAACACTCGCACATTTCTACCCGTCATCATCCCATCCGCACCATGGTTCGTTAGCGCTCCCGTTTTCCGGCCTCTGTCGTCTTTCGTGGACCATTTCGGACTGATAGTGCAGTGGTGTGACGCCGACTCATCAGCCTTCATTGTTGGCCACCGCTGAGATTATCGAACGCGCTCTTTCGTTATCGCCCCGTCTCGCCCCCCCCCCCCTCCCCGACGCAATTTCCATAACCTTATCACGTTCCGTCATCTCGAGTTTCTCATGGGCGTATGTACTATTTCCGTCATGTCGATTACCAGTCCTTTATTTTCTTGCCCATCCTCCTTGCCGTCATCCTTGCCATTTTTTGTTGTTGCGATTCTCGTTTATGCCTTTGTCATCTTCGTATGAGCAATCTTCTCGCACATTCTTACATCATCTGCTTACAACGGTTATCACCACGATCAATGTGCTTATGCACGATACTTAACTACCTGCATTCCTCGTGCTTTCCATATACCTGTGCTCGGTCGTTTTCCACATCCCTCATTGCCCTCCTCATCTACTGATTTCACACACCGCTGGCCACTCGGGAGGGCCGAGCTGATCTTACCACAGCAGCAGCCAGCACCGGCCGGAGAATCAACAGTTCCCGCTGACGTGTCGCCTCCCCCCACCCCTCCCCTCCCGCGGTGGGGGCTGGGCCTCCCCCAGCAGCCGGCGCCCGAGGCCATATAAATGACCTCATTAGCCGCACTGTGGGGGCAGCCTGCCGGCCCCGCGAGGCCGGAGACGAAAATCAGGGGAGAGCAGAAGCACAGCTCACCACCAACGGTAGCGGCTGGGGAATAGACCAAAACAGACACAAGGAGGGGCACCGTTTGCAGGGCTGTGACGCGACGCGAGCAATAGTCATGATTAGCTTCTTCACCGGGGCGTGTTCTCTGGGGATCTGCTGCTGCTCGCCGGCTGGGACGGCATATCGTCTGAATGGTGCCGAGTAACGGAAGGGGTAGGAAGCGTTCGGCGTTGATTGCCTTGCGCGGCTGATGTTTATCTTCCCCGTTCGCTGCCCGCTTTGTATGATGAAAGGAGTCGCTAACTCCCTTGTTACCCCGAGTACACAGACCAGGGAAATGAAATTATAATAGTTGGCCTCCTCTCTCATCTGTTTAACACGCACGTGAACCAGCCAATCTTCAAAGGTCGATGCCCCGTAGTTTGATATGTTAATGCTAACCGTTGAACTCAGGATCTTTGGGAACTGGGGATCCTAAAGTTTTCGCTACCTGTCTATGGTAGATGTTGAAAACTTTTCAAACTTTTTTTTCTTTATCGGTCTATTAGATGATCTGTCTATGACATATCAATCTAACTGACTCAGTGACCACTGCTTCACCTTAGAGTGAGTGAGTGACGTGACTTAATGACGACATGCATGACTCCACGGGACCCAGATGGACTTAAACCCCTCATGGTCCTGTATGACCCTGCTTCTACCTGATGTGACTCCGCTGTAACCCCGATGTGACCCCGCTGTGACCCCGCTGTAACCCCGTGTGACCCTGTGTCCCACCTCTACCCCCCAGACAGCGGTCAGTGGGAGGAGTTGCGCGGCGAGGGCAGCCGACCTCTGAACCTGCAGGAGCACACGATGGTCAGCTGGCAGGAGAGACTGTACGTGTTCGGAGGAGAGGTGGGCTTCTCCAGTGGAGCGCAGACCCCGCTCTGGTGCTATGATACCAAGGTGAGTCAGCGGGGATGAAAATCGAGCTGCCAAGGGGTTGGTGGCATTGGGTAGACTAAGCTGATTAACTCGACTTATACATTATATCCTGTATGATTGGTACAGAGTGCATGTGCTATTTTGATATGCCACTGCGTGAGACCGAACATGTCAAAAGCTGTTCTTCATTGTCTTGCATTCAGTCATCACCACTCACCAATCTTACGCAAGTGTGACGCACTTCACTTGCCATTTGAATGTTGGGCTCCCTACTCAGGAGACTCGGGGAAGAATGGAATACGAACGCCATTCAGAAGAATGGTGTTGGCATTAGAGAGGGGGAGTGTGTGTGGCTCATCGATTTTGTAGCTCACGAGAACACATGCAGTGAATTTGATAAGTTGGATCCACGTTAGGCAGCTTTTGTGTTCAAAGTTAACGTTGGTTGGTGTCCGTAAGGTCATATTTGTTTATAATGTTCCACAGTACATTGTTCTCCTTTGGATATTTTGCGAGTACGTAGTGCAAGTTGTCTCACGATGCTTGACTAAACTCAAAATGACTGGACAAGTGTCAAAATTATCATGACAATGTTGCGTGCTACGTGTTTAGCGCCGCTTAACCGTTTCGTGCTCCTTAATTAGCTTTAACGATTCAATCACGATTAATTATTTCTAAGGAATACTCGGAAGTCTTCAGAAGTGCTGAGAATTCCAATTAACAAATACAAAGGAACACGCTGCTCTAATGTTCTTCATAACTGAAGCAATGTGTTAATTTGATATTAATCGCGATAATTGCATGCGTTAAAAATGTCGTAGCATAAATTACTTTACCGACTACCGCTACCCCTCAAGAAACTTCGTGTAGTCGCCAACTGACATCCGAGCAAAGTTTTTCCATCGTTACAATATAACATTTGATGCAACAACAGAACGAGAAGCTGGCTAGTCCACGAATGCGACGTCGAATCACTGGGCAGCAGAGCGCTGCATATCTCTTCCAAGAGGCGCGCCCACGCTGTCCTGGGATGTCCTCGGCAGCACGGACAGGTTTTTGCCCTCTCGTCCAATCACGCTGGTCCATCTGGGTCACATGACTGTCTGGCGGGCCTAATGGGCGACCGCTGTGACATCAGTCCCCACTCCCCACATCGCAGTGGCATTAGCGCGCATTCGGAGACAGATGCGCATGGGGAATACGGATGTGCTGATAGAGTGTGTCGCCGTGCTAGGTGGATGTATTTGATGATAAGGATGGGTCGATGCTTTAGGGAAGCAGGGCTTATGACCCTTGTAGCGTGTTCTTTAGTGGTACGTTCTTTTTGCAACTGGCCAATCAACATCAGATTCGCTTGTCTTGCTTCAAACGCTTATTCTTGATAGATCGATTTCAGTTGGCGAGTGCTGCATGGAATAGCAAAATGAGTGTGAAAATGCAAAGCTGATGTTACATAGTTTTAGAGGAGTTCATGCAGGCTGTGCCTTTTTTGCCTTGCGATACCCAAAGCACACCGCGGAGGCCCGTGCGCTAGTTCACTTGCCTCTCCTTTCCTTCTCCCCTGTTCTTTATCAGCCACGCTCCGCAGTCTTCCTTTTCCCTCGCGTCACACTCTGCGGCGTATCTCGGACGGCGATCTCCGCCGCGTCAGTCACCGACCGGAAGTGGTCGTTTCCGGTCCAGCGGGCCGTCTCCGTTCGTTAGCCCCTCGGATGGCCGGTGGCCCGAACCTGGAGCCCTCTCCGCCACGTAATTACCGGCTACTTCAGAATCGACTGTCGTCTCGAGTGAGTCGGACCGGGGAGGGAGGACCGGACCTGTAGCCAATGTGGAGGCTTTCCCCCGATACAGCACGGCTGGAGAGCCCCTCAGGCAGTTTTGGAGCCTCTCTGGTATCGAATGAGCGTTGTTGGTTATGAGCAGTGGAGGAGACTGAGATTTATTGCAGAAGCTTTCGAAACTACAGAGTGTGAGGGACAGATTTATGTTGACGGGTCCAGAATATGATGCTGCTCTTGAGTGCACGTGCTGCGATCTTCTCGGTCGAACAAAATTTAGGACTCGTTCGGAACGAATGACGCAATATGACTCCAGTTCTTAGATCACCAAGATTTTCGACCATTGAACAACCCAGCGTGTCCCAAAGTCATTGAACGGTCGACGGCCTATCCAGTATCCAGTGTTTTGAACCCACCATGCAAGGCGAATATGTAATGCTCGTATGTTTCCAGAACTCGAGTCTTTTGCGTTATGATGACTGGAAAATGTCTTATGTGTTGTACATTTTGAATCATATTACTTTTATTTTATTTTTGGTCCGAATTTACCGAGATCGTTGTTTTTAAAGAAAAAACTTTCTTTCAGTGGGAATAAATGAATGCTGGAGAGCATCTGTGAAATTCGTTTCGATTATACGGTTCCATTTTCAAGCGTTTGCATACACTCAAACCGTGGGAGAATACATATGTCAGTCCACATCGTCACCGTGTTGAGTTTATTCATTCCTTTTTAGCGTCCGTCAGTCTTCAGAGCTATTGCATGTAATATTCCTCCTTGGAACATCATTTCGTCCTCAGTTGCGTCTCTGGCCCACGCTCTGTTTTGTCCTCGAGCCCTCGTTTTATTGAGGTGGAAATCGGTTCGGCCATGCTGCAGTGCTCCGAATCCCTGGGGGCTTTGTTACCTGAAGTCTGAGAGGGATAGGGACGAGAAAATCTGGCTTTTTGTGATGTGTTGACGTTTTCAAGACGCATATTGGGCTAACAAGGAGGATAGGATTTAGGAAATACCCTTGGGTGTTCATAAATAAGGCGATGTTTTTGAAGTTTGGGAATGCTGATACAAAACAACGTCTCGTAAATTTAATCCTTATGACACTGCCCTTAGTTATCGTTGTAGTCATATTGCAGCATGTCAGTGGCATTTAATATTTATTATCTATATGTGCGTATATTCATTAAAAAAAAAAAACATTTTTAGTGTGCGCGTTTAGCCCGGTTCGGCAGTCTCTAAGAGGCGACATTTTGGCGCTGACGACAGTGTTATTGAACATGAACCTCCTCGTGCAGAGTAACATCAACGCTAACGGCTAGCTCGTAGTTCATTTCTTTTAGCTAACGTTATTTACTACATCATTTGTCGCACTTTAAAATCTTTTAATCCAATTTCAGCTGTTCGCAATATTCGCCAAGTCACTGCCGTAGATTTACGGGGTGACGGCGGAGCTCCAATCACGCTCCCTGGCGTGGCAGAAAATTGAATCTGGCCGTGCGTTACGGAACACCGGTGGCGTCACCTCCCCTGCCGCCTCCCGGACTCCCCTGCCCTCCCCCTCCTCGAATCCCCACCTCACCCCTTGCCAGGATCCCCCGGGGGCGGATCAGCCGGCGAAGTTCAATCGCCTCGGCGTGATCCGCTCCGAATGCAATCGCTGTCGGCGGCGCGCAGCTTTGTTCGACGCTGGCCGGCCGCTCGCTGACGTGGGGGGGGGGGGGCTCCCAGGGAGGGGCGCTGACGATAGGACGGCGGCAGAATCGGTGCGGCAGCGGCGGTTTCGGCTGACGATGGGTGGCGCACCGCCAGCGCTTCAATGTCTGCCGGCTGTCGGCTGCCGGAAGCCGGACGTGCGAGGGCTGCCGGAGGAGATACGACGGCAGGAAAACGTTTCCTCGTCGCTGGCGACGGGCCACGTCAGCCCCGACGCGGCGCTGAGGCGGCAATTAATGGCGAAAATCGCCGCGTCCAGATTCGGAAATGCTAATTTATGTGGCGTCAGAGGAAAAGCGAAAGATTTAGAAAAAATGTTCTGGATTTTAGGGTCTCCCAAGCTACTAAAAGTTTTCCTTTTACAGGCTCATACTTTTTACTAGTCTACGTTAGTCTTTTTTTAACATGAATTTTCAATGTTTTTCATTTGCAGCTCTATCGTCTTATCCTGTTTTACACTCACTTGAAATTTGCGTTGTTGTTACACATGACATATATTAGAGTCTGATCCTCGTCAAATTGTCGCTGTGCTTTTCAATCTATTAGTATTCTGTCCGTCTTCTCACCACATTTTGTTAGCTCGCGCAGTGTGGTTCTGGCGGGGTAATTTCGACCAATCATCGTCGCTCATGCGAGAGGCCAAATGCAGGCGGAATTCCTGATATAGCCTCATTAGATATGTGCATCACAGTAACCACAGGACTAAATGCAATGGAAAGATAATTAACTTGACAAGTCAATAAAAGGATTTTCCAACATTGGACCAAAATGTTCATTGGCGGATTTGATAGAGACCATTTAACTTACTTGGAAAACCAGTACCCTTTAACACTCTTTGTCTCTTGCTCACATTATCGGTTTTATTGTCCGCCATTAGCATTACGTGACATTGCTCAAATTGCTCATTGCTCAAACAAATATTTCACCAGGACCAACCTTTCAGTTTCCTCCTTATCCTTTCAGGCCCTCCAGTCGAATGTCGCCACGAAGCCCTTATTTTCACGGGTGTCATTTTCTCGACTCTTCTACCACAAAATGGCCCATTAAATTCTGAGGCCAATCATCGATCGTCTCGCATTTGATGCAACGAGCCCCAGGCGGCTCATTTTTCAGCGCAGAGTATCTGCTGGATTTAGAACGGACAATGAGACGTCAGTGAAGGGACGTCCAGATGTCCAACTTCTACACTCTCAACTCCCGCAGATCGAGTGTCGTGAACTGACGGCCCTCAGAGTCAGGCGGTGCGGCAGTGCCACTGTTCTGAGAAAGGCAGCGGAGCCATGATTTTCAGCGATCAAAGTTGACGAGAGTTTATTAGAAGGAAAGTTTATCTTGTTAGTTTAATGACGCTGTAAAGGTTCGTCAGAAATGATTGAAGCATCAGCAAGCCGTAAATCATTATAGTTTATTTCAAAGCCATATGTATTCTGCAATCATGCTTGCTCTCTGGCTAGATTGGCACCGCATTATTTTTTATGCTAGTGCATCACCAATTTCAGCTCGTTACTCAATAGACAAAGACGAATATTTTGGCACTTCAGCGAAAATTAAGTTCCATGTTATACACTTTCTTCTGTTCGTTCACAACTGCACGGCTTTACCGTCACCTATTACTGAGTTACTTTGCGCAGCGGGGGTAATTCGTTTCTCAGGCGACGGGCGTGACTGACCCTCACCAGACGCCGTTTGGACGGAGACCAGTTGGCTGCGGCCAATCAGAGGGCCAATTTGTCACTCCAGCTCTCCTCTCTGCCTCACAGCGCTCTCCCCATCTGCCTGCATCCCTCCCCCGGCTCCCCCGACTGATCTCTGCCTTCTTTCTACCCTCAGACAGACATCTGGACCAAACTGTCGACGCCCGCTGGGGCGGCGGGGTCAAGAGGTCAGCGTCCGACCATGACCGCCGCCCAGAGGTCACCCAAGGGCCTCAGAGGTCACTCGGCCGTGGTGCACGGCGACTCCATGTATTTGTACGGCGGCTACCGGGACCTCAAGGGCTCCACTGCTGAACTCTGGCGATACGACTTCGGTAAGTAGAGCATGCTACCATGACTCTCTCTCTCTCTTCTCTCTCTCCCTCTCCCTCTCCCCCTCTCTCTCCCTCTCCTATCTCTCTTTCTTTTTTCTCTCAAGAAGTCATAAGAATAGCAATGTCTTTGTTCTTAGCCTCATTAACTCGTTGGTCTTTGATGTAGTCATTTCTAGTTGCTTTCTTTTAAGGAAGCTCTTTGTCATCCTCTCCGTAGTGATCATATGCCTTATCTTTCAACGACCAACGTTATTCACAATTCGCAAACTGCAATGCTCGGCGCTCGCACTAATTTTTATCGATATTGTATTTGAGCATTTATGTCCTGCATGTTGCCAACGAAACTTTTTTTTTGCCATATCACGCACGGCGATAAATGTAAAGCAAGAGAGATCAGAGCAAGCCTGGCAGGAGGCCGCGCGTATTGGCTTGCGAAACTTGTCCATAGATGTCGCTGGTAGTAGTCGCCTGAAGTTAGACTGTGCCGCACAGCCCTTGAAGCGCGGCATAGCACCATACTGGGACCGGTGACAAACGGTTTCAGTTCCCGTCATGGTTTTGACTCACCGGTTAGCAGATAGATACTGATCGGAGCATTTAGATTGTATGATTGCATTCATATTCTTCGTTTTCACCCAGTTGACGTTGATCCCACAGACGCTTTTTATCCGCCACGGATTCTCGGATTTTATAATTACAGCTCGATCGTTAATCGTTTTGTGTGAAAATCTTCTATCCCTGGGGTTTCCTGGGTTCGTGTAATTACAGTTCAGCGACTCGTCGGCTCCTTATGGCGTATCCGGGCCCGTTCGCCGTCGTTCCGATCTATAATGTGCCGTTCCCGGGGCCGGAGCGGCACGATCAGTGTTCAGAGGAATCTGACAGATATTGCTGCGCTCCCCTCCCGAGAGCCATTCGGATTTTCATTTCGTCCACCAGGAATGAAAAATAATCTGCGCCGCCATAGATTGTCATTGGGCTGGCTGACAGAGACGCGGGGCTGCCTTCAACCGATGAATGGAAAAACCCTGGGGAATTCAGGACGCAGTTACTCTAAAAAATACATTTTTAGTCAAATTTTGAAATTTGAAAAGCAGGAGCTTTCTCACTCCTCAATGTGTAACAATGTTTTTTTATAGTTATTGCTATCCGTTGTTTTTTTACGTTTCTTTCGTGTCATAGCAAATCCATTCTGTCCAGACGGTTTGATGGTTCGTCCAGAAATGTGCTCCCCCGTGCTCCCGAATTTAGCTCGGGCTTTGTGCGGCCAGGATGGTCGATGGGACGCCTGCTGCTGAGATAACGACAGTCACCGACACCCCGAGCCGGGGATCACACTCGTTAGTGGGCTTATAGCCCTCGGACGCGGAGACAGAGGGCGGGGGAAGGGGGAGGGAGCTCAACACTTGTTCGGCTGTTCGGACTCTGATAGAACACTGTCCAAGCTGTGCTCAACAGCACACAAGCAGTGTCTGACCAGCGCTCATACAATGCCCGAGTAGCAATTGAGTAGTATCTGGCCAGTTCGAGGAGCATTTGAGAGGGACACGAAATGAGCAGCAGTTTGACAGAGTGGACCCGAGACAAAATGGCGTCGTCTAGATTGCAGTGCATCCGGGCCAAAATGGCCGCGAGCAGCGCTGACCGTGACGCTGGTAGATCGAGGTCATTGAGGGGGTATCCGGCGCCACTGGGAGGACAGGGGGGGGGGCAGCTCTGCTCTGGGGGTCGGCGGCTGTCCGGGGCGGGGACGGAGCCGGCACGCCCATCTGTTTACCCGCCAAGGACGGATCGGAGCCCAGCCCGGTGACTTCCTGCTGTCAGTGTATTGATCTGCGATCAGAGATGGCAGTCACCGGAACAGTGCCTCCGGTGATGGCCGGCCCCGTCCGCCGCGGGATAAAGGAGTAGGCTCGGTCTGAAACGGGACACCGTCACCCAAATACTGCCGGTGGGTGGCCGGGGGTCGGTGACTCTTCACACAGACACCTGGGCCCAATCTCACCAAGTGCGGTAAACTCAATTTGGGGTAAAATACCAAACTACCCCACTCCGTAACTACCAAAGTACTGTCCCAAAATTAAGTTTACATAACTTGGTGAGATTGGGCCAAGTGCCCAACCTCACCAAGCTAGTTTAACTAATTTCGGGGTAGTATTTTTGTAGTTATGGAGTGGGGTAGTTTGGTATTTTACCCCAAATTCAGTTTACCGCACTTGGTGAGATTGGGCCCAGGTACTGTTCACACAGACACCACTGATCCTTTTTGGTGTCATATTGCCCTTATCAAGCTCAAGAAGTGTTGATTGATTGCATTGTTAGCGTCGTCCAATTACAGTAATGTCGAACACTCGTTCTTTTGTTCCCAAATTAAACGGTTTTTGCTCTCAAAAGTATCCCATCTGTTACGTTGAGCTGTCCTCCCTCCAATGATAGTGTCATGCTCATCTGTTTTTATCCTCTTGTCATCCATCTGTCTGTATTTCTACTTGGTCTCCGTGGCTGTCGCTGCACCATTACCCATCAGTCAAACCTGTCGCTGATAGATGATCGGATGTGTAGGCGCGGGACTGCTCTCACTCTGGGCCCCAGGATGCTGTTTTCGAGTAGACGCTCATGGCACCAGTGCTGGCCGCATCTTCAGTTGTGATAGCTTTGCAATATGCATGAAAGCAAGCGTTGATGCATCACATTAATCATTATTATACCAGAAACAACATTGGCTGACATTTATATGGCGTAAAATGTCTTGACAGAGTACCTATCATTTTTATGGAAGGCAGGTTCATCAGTAGTATAGTACATTGATCGATTAACATTTTGTGCTCCTTCTAAACAGTGTCAAGGAATATTCAACAATGTCCGAGGAGTTTCTCTTACTTTTTCCTCTGTTCCGCCTCGCGTGCGTTCCCTCCATGCCGCCTCTCTGCTGAGCGCGTCATTACTGAGACGAGGGGGAGCAACAAATGCCGGGGCAGCGGCCGACTGGTCGCTACCTTCACCCCAGGGCTGCAGAAAGGCTGTCTGGGCAGGCAGTCGGCAGTCGGCACCCCTTCCCCGCGGCGCTCCCCTCTCCGAGCCGAGCGCGACTATTCGAGCTGCTCTCTACCGGGCTGCTCGCGTGTCGACGCGCCTCACCCAGATCGTTCCTATCGCTGTCGGAGGCGGGACTGATGTATTGTTGTGTGTCGGCTGTGTGGCGCCGTGGCGTGACACGCAAATGTGCAGATTTATGCGGGTCCAACGGGATTTATTGGAGAGTTCTGTGCTCTCGGCAGCGCCGCCGCTCCTTGGGGATTCGTGTCTGTTCGTATATGCGTGTCGGACTCTCATCAGACATTCTCTCGGGCCTCTGGTTTCTTTATCGCTATTTTATGCGATGAAAATGAACAGATTTGTTTTTGTGTCCGTCTCGCATTATATGTCTCCAGTCTTTCCGTTCGCTTTGTTCTCTTTCATTATTTCTCTCACTGTAGTGTCTTTTGGGTTTTGACATGCTTTTTTGCTTTATTTTTTGCTCACGAATTCTTTTTCTTTTCATATCCATGTAATTACCTAGTCATCATACAACACCACATCTGTTCATATTACATACATTTCAGACGCTCAAACATTTCTTACTCTCCGAGCATTTGTTTTATATTTTCGACCTCTATGTTTCTTTTCTTTCGGATGGCAAATAAAGTTGTTCCACATTTTTGTTCCCGTTCCCAGTTCCGAATTGCCGCGGTAAATAGGTACTTAAATTTCAATGAAACAGTCCCTCCTCCAAGCTATCGCGTTGTAATTCTAGAGTCTCACTCTTCTTCGGTTGCTGGCGGTCACCGGCGCCAGTGGTGGCCGCTCTCCACCACACCAATACGGAGAAATGAGACGGTAATCTGCTGCAAGTGATTGCCTATTGCCGTGCTGCTCCGTCCCAGCTAGTGATCGTGATGGATGGTTACCGGCGCTGGAACGTACTGCGATGTCCGACAGATGGGAGAGGGTCGAGAGAGAGAGAGAGAGAGAGAGAGAGAGAGAGAGAGAGAGAGAGAGAGAGAGAGAGAGAGAGAGAGAGAGAGAGAGAGAGAGAGAGAGAGAAAGAGAGAGAGAGAGAGGAGTATGTGGGTGGCGCCAGTGATGAATGGTGCTGGTGAGAGCAGAGTATGTGTGGTGTTAGTGCCGCATTGTGCCACAACGGGCGGTGTTGTGTGGTCTATTCAGTACCCTGTAGCGTTTGATAGCCTCTTGTGTGTCAAGATTCGCAAGACGTTTTACAGGGTAGTTGGAGTCTTGCTCCCAAGAGTATCTCGGCTCTTCACCATGACAACAGATCTCACAGTCTCGTGTGAACGCTCGAGTACACTCACCAGTGGGAGTGGCGGCTCAGAATGCCGACAGAGTGGCTTTACGGTCAAACAGGCGCTACTCACTCAATTGACATTACTCTGATGTCAAATCATTCCACTACCGATGCCCCACTGCCCGGCGCTCTACCCGCCCGGCCGGCCCGCGGATCGATGCGCCGATCTGAGCGGAGGCGTGACTCGATCTCTGGCGGCGGCGGCCCGACGGTTTCGATACTGGGCGGATCGCCACCATCAATCAACCAACAGAATGCTGCTGATGCTGACGATGCTGGCGAGGATGATGATGGTCATGGGTAGCGTCTGGCACCGGCTGGACGCCTGTTGCGTTTCTTTTGTTGAGTGCCTAATGGCCTAATCACAAGTGTAAATCGAAATATAAGGTTATATTTTTCGTTCGTTCGCGCCCCCTTTATTGCTTTGACAGTTTCCCACCATAATTTATAAAAGTTGCTCTAAGTTGTAAAAGCGACTGTTTTCTGAAAGTGCCGGAGACTTCTCTGGGAAGTATAAGTGAATTATTGCCAAACTTGTGCTTGTTTGTCGAAACTCGAAAATACAATTACATACTATTGCATTGCGTTTTGGACGCTTTGTGGGAAACGCCCCCAACAAATTTACATTCAGTGTTACTTAAACTCTGGAAAAGCACCCGCGAAAGTTGTAATGATGCGATGGAGGTCGGATCGGTAATACACTGGGGCATTCGAACTTGTTGGACCAGGCTACTAACTTTACTTATGTTCACACGACTGTTCATTACTTAAAAGCTAAGTTTGTTTATTGCCAAAAAACGCCTTTGCTCAGAAACACACTAAGGAAGGTACGCATTGTTGAAAACTATAGGCAGAAATACGAAGTTTTATCAACATGCGCTTTTACTCAAAGCTTTTGGTTTTTAATGCTTTTAGAAAATTAGAAACTTTGAGCCTGTAAATTCCAGATTGATAAAATCCTTAAGCTGCTTATAAAAAACCTTAACGGGAGTGTAGAAAATATCAGTCATGTCCATGGGGTGGTAGTCATCTTCGTCATGCATTTTCACGAGCTCCTGTGAATATTTGATAACGAACGAAGTATTTTCTCATTCTTTGGAGGCGAGCTATTTAGGCACGTGTTTTGTCGCACGGTCTTCACTCTGTCCCGTCTCACACTCTTTGCTTGCGAGGAAAACTGGTAGAAACTACTTGCATGAACACAGTACCGCCATCTCTCACTCACTCCCTTCTCTTCTCTCGCAGAGACATTGCTAACTCCCTCCACCTCTGACCTTCCTCCCTCTTCTCTCGCAGAGACGGGCGCATGGCAGGAGCTGCAGACGGGCGCGGGGCCCACCGAGGGCCGCCACGACCACTCTGCCGTCGTACACGACTCGGCCATGTGGGTGTACGGCGGTATGACTGACCTCACGGAACGCTCCGACCTCTGGCGACTCGATCTGGGTACGTGGGGCCTTGCAACACGAAAGGGAAATAAGGACGTATTGCACCTTTGGTGTCGTATGCTTTCTTTATCACATATTTTTTGTCCATGCTGGTGCTGTTTTTTTTTTTTGCTTGTTAGTTCAATTGCACCATGAACATCCGTCATATACTAGGTAATAGTTATTTGCGATTGATGAATACCCTGATTTATTAATTGTACGGTCACGGTCGCAATACGTTTAGCTATTTGTATGTTGATTGTGTAGTGAGTTAGTTGTCAACAAAGCAGACGTCATGGGAAAGCATCATATGTCTCGTATCCCGTTTCCATCTACTTCAGTACAGTTCGGTGACTTACTATCCCTCTGCTTCTACGATATGTCACTTTCACGCCATTGACGTGATTCCCCCCCCCCCCCCCAGACTCGCTGCTGTGGACGCCGGTGCGATGGCGGGGTCAGCCCCCCGGGCCGCGGCACGGCCATGTAGCCTGTCGCCTCCTAGCCTGGATGGTGCTCTACGGAGGCCAGTCGCGCGGCCAGAGCACCTCAGAAGTCTGGCGGCTGCACTTTGGTATGTTGCATGATATTTTGTCCTGGTTCCAACTTTCATGCGTGTTGTATATTCGTGGTATACATATATCCTATGAGTGATGACCTTCGTCCGAGTAGATGCATTTTTATGCATTTTTACGGATGCATTTTCTAGCCTATACATGTTGCTGTCTGTGATGTGTCTGGTGAGTAGGCACTGTTGGATGCATACCTTATCTGCCATATTAGGTGTGCTTTGATATTATTCAAAATTTGCGCCGAGTGAAAGTGTACTTTGGTTGAAGTCCAAATGTAAAAAAGGAAATATTTTGTCCTTCCATACGTAACTATGATTTCTCCTGCGTAGTGAACTCTTTGTCTAACTACCACATCAATACGTAAACAAAGTCAGCAGCGCCATTTATATCGAGAAGGCTATTGGCCTTTCGATGTAAGGTTGTATTGCTTGGTTGGCTTCTCGGAAGTGATTATCGACTATCGGATATCAGCGGACCTACTCATGTCCAAACAATGGATAATCATACCCCTGAAAGCACTGAGTCGTTCGATCAGTTTTGCTATTGTGAAGTGCATTTGATATTCTCTGGATGGAGGGCTGCTCCCTCCCCAGACTTTTTCGCCGACAACGTAAATTTGAAACATTGTGCCACGATTTTTGAACCTGCGTCACATTTTCTATACCTACCTGAGATAAAAGTTCGGCCTCAGGTCGTCTAGGGTGTTGATTTGAAGAAGATTTTATTTGAGTTGAGATAGCGATAATGTAAAGCAATTATCTGCGAACTTTCATCGGTGGTGGGATGCTTCCCTGATATAATATGTCGTGCTTGTGTAGTGAATTTAATTGAACGTTAACAGAATCTAATAATGGCCGCAGACTCTGTGCTAATACTGGTGTTGATGGCCGTTTCTGGACTGTTTATTAAATACCTGGCTCACCACCAGTGCTGGCAGCGGCAGTAGACACCCAGGCCAAGTATGAGCCGCGCCGGCCAGCCAACCGTCGTCGGAGCTATTCTGGCGGACAAATAAACCTCGCAGTCGCTGAAATAGCCGACAGATAAACCTCGGAATGCCCAAATGAGGAACGTATTAACCCAGCCCAGGTTATATGGACTGCCCCACTCTGAGGGGTGTTCACGGGCACCGCACACTGCTGCGTGCGGTGTGTGCGGTGCGTCCAGCAGGCGTGGGGGTAGGGGATGGGTAGGCGGTTCTGACGTCACGGCTGCGTGCGGTGGACGGTCCGCTGTGGCCGGTCCCGACCGGCCACAGCGATCGCTGTGTGCGGTGACGGAAGGCTGACGTAGGGACGCAGTGGGCGGAGCTTGGAGGCTGTGTGCGGTCCGACCGCACACAGGGCCCGTGAACAGCCCTCTGAATAACTAATCCTCTTACATGATCTCAGCATCGCGGTGAAAAACAAGGAACGGTTGGAAATTTGCCTAATGTTATTCTCGCTCTGATTTTCTCCCATTAGGCTCTACCGCTAAGCACAGACTCGCATTTGAGAGCTACTCTGCATTTCAAGGCGTTCCTACGTCATTTTCAGCCTCCCATTGATTTTTGTGCCTCTGACGCGGGGCGGTGCTGGGTTCCGGCGGAACCCTGTCTGGTTGAAGCGCCGCAGACAGGCGCGGGCTGGGGAGATGTTTTTACGCCCCGACGTCGTGCGGCGGTTTTGTTGATACACGAGATGGCTACATCGCGGCCAGCCGACGGTCCAACAAAACGTTTATCTTCATAGTTTCCACATCAGCGCTCGTGTGGCGCCGTTCATCTCGACCGCGGTCGTTGTTTCAGTGTAGTTCTGTGATGTGACTGATGATATGGCGGCCAGAGAAATTAAACTGGGATGGCTAAATCCATAAAACTGATGACCAATGTCACCCCGAATCTCCCCTTGTTCTGAAGTTCAAAGCTGCACTGTCTTTGTCCACAAACTTAGCATTCGGAACGCTGTGCATCGTGCAGTAATAACAACAATGCTATGTTGGCAGTTATGTGAACAAAGCTTCAAGTGCTGGCGCAGTACTTAAGCTTCCCAATCCAGTTCAAACACAGTACTGAGTACGTGCATCCTTTATTAGTTTGCAATCGTCTGACTACGACGTAGTGGGGGCATTCCACGATAGATCGTACCACTTTTTTTCCAATTTGACACCCTCATCTCTCGGAATTTGACGAGAACATGGTCTCAGGGGTAATCAGGGGCTCTGAATCCACCTGTAACAATTTCAGGCTTATCAGATAAGTATTTTTTGAGTTATGGTGTATAACATTTTTTCGATCTTGCTTTGCAGCGCTAAGTTTGGCGGGCTGTAACTCTAAGACGGATTATTCAAATGCCAAATGCTATATAACATTAAACTTGCAATGAAACAGAGATTAATATGTATTTTTAAAATTTCGAAAAATACGCTATTTTTGATATATGACATATCGAGTTTTCTTTCATTTGTATTTTTTGGACTTTGGGACCAAATTTTTTTGAATTTTTATTTCTTTAAAAAAATATTTGGCTCATTGTTAAGAAGTATGCGAAAAATTAGGAAGGTGTTCTTTCTATAAATGTATTTATTTTACGTCACGATAACGGTTTCGAATAGTGATTTCGGGAGGGGAGCTTACAAATGGCGTGGTAAAGCTGCCTAGTGACATCACGGGTTACTGAAATTTCAATTCAAGTCTAAGTCATCTGAAAAAAAGTGAAAAGAGGGTTCATTCAACCCTCTTTCCTATAAGCGCGAGGGTGAAAAAGGCTGTTTGGTTCTGACATTGTTTTGGGCGCCAATGACCATAGCTGTCCGAGATGAAAGTTACAGGACGCATACATGGTGTCCTCCAAAGGTCTCACAACTTGTATATCTGGGAATTTTTCAAGGTTACATGAGGTCAGGTCGGTCACGTGACATCTTTGTTATAAATCAATGGGGAAATATAAAAACTGTTATTTTGGCGCCGAGAATGATCTAAAACTATCCCACGTACATGGTATCGTGATTTCATGCACTCCTTGCAAAGTCCAATGCTTTACTTTTGCATTGTTAACCTTGAGTGACGTCATTTATGACGTCACTAGGGTCGTACGAGTTTTTCGTCAATAACTCCCGATTAAATAGAGCTAGAGAGTCGGGAAAGCCACCAATGGACTCGGGAAGACCTTCCGAATCGAATGATATGCCATTTGATACCCTTTGCCCAGCTTCGTGACCTGAGGGGCTCTGACCTGACCTTGACCAGAGGTCAACTACTTAAGTTGACCTCACCCTAGCAAAAAGTATACCATTCGATGCATCTGAGCTAGGCGAACACAATGATGACAAAATCGCGGCTCTGCGGCCATTTTTTGCGAAGCTATTTACTAAAAACCGAACCCGTAACTTCAGTCACGTGACCTGACCTCAGACGCTACCGGTTAACCTGAGACCCTAAAATCGGGTACCAATCGCTACGACTTGTAACGGCACACACGCCCGTTTTTTCCGCGAGGCTCTAGCTCTATTAGAAGCGAAACGGCGTGCTGGGGTCGTATCAACCCCTCCGAAACCCATTTTGTTTGCGGGAAAATGAGGAACTTATAGAAAGAATACCTTTCTAATTTTTTGCATGTCGATTTGCAATGACATGAAGATTATTTTGAAAAAATAAAAATGTGAAAAATTTTGGTCCCAAAAGTCATTAGAGGCAAATGAAAAAAGATTAAGGTTTTTGCTCAACAATGAAATTTTTTCTTTGGAATTTTTAAATAGTAATATTAATTTTTGATTCATCGCAAGCTTAGTGTTGTTTACTTTTTGTTGGTTGCTTAACCCGTTCTTGAGTTATAGGCCATCAAACTCACCGTTACATACCGAAGTTAAAAAAATGTAATGCAATATAACTCAAAAAGTTTTAATCTGAGAAGTCTGATATTTTGCCAGGCGTCTTTGGGGCCTATGATTAGGGTAAGGTGCCTAATTAGCGACCCCCTTAATTTGAACTGTCATTGCTCACGATCTGTGGGTGCCACTGTATTACTGGCTTGATTTTCGGAGAGGTCGTTCATTTTTCTATTAAAATATTGTCATTTTCTGCCCCAATATTCACTAACTTATTTGTAGTGAGCATTTTAGCAAACCATTGCAAAAAACGCTAATAGGGAACTCTTCCCGATTAGCGACCGGGGAGGGTCGCTAATAAGTCTATGGGTTTCCCCATATTAAAAATGGCAAAAAATGCGACGCCTGAAAAGATGAAATATTATCTCAAAAAGGTAACCTATACGCAAAGCACTCAATCACTCGAACAGGAACGTTTATCCAACACATTTATGTAAGTAAAAAATGATCACGTGATGCACCGAAGGCGAAAAGAAGGCGGAAACCCAAATTTTGCGGGCTGTCTCGTATGATATTCGAGGTCCGCGCTGAATTCGGCACCCCTGCAGTCGGTGACGACATTTGACATCCCCTGCCACACATTGCAAGCTTCAGCAACACCTCATTTTCATTTCTCTCCTTTCCCCTTTCTTTCCCTTCTTGAGCTATTTGCGACCATGTCAGGCGCAAATAGGAAATATGAGTTGCGACACATTTTTAACCGCCATGCTGGGCACAGTTAAGCGATTCACTATGGGAAAACGGCAATCAATTGAAAAAGGAATGTCGATTCAGAATAAAAAGGGTGCATCATCCTAATGTGCATCGCTTTTCATCAGAGAGGGCCCAAACACACACGTTTTGGATAAGAAACTCGTCATTTTCATTTAAACTCACCTGAAAGGTCCCACCAGAAACATCGACAACCGTAAAATAATTTAATTTGATAACCAAAGTATGGCTGACCTTTTGACGATGTTTTTACCCTGTTTTCTCCCGCCAGTTTTTCTGTACGGAGGTAGGTCGCAAATCGGAAAGGGTCGCTAATTAGGCACCTTACCCTACCCCTAGGACCGATTTTCATTAAAATCTGAGAGATGAGGGTGACGGGCCTGGTCAGTGGCGCAGCCAGGATTTCGTTTCGGGGGGGGGGGGGTCA